GAAAGCTATTGTATAGAGAAACACGTGTCGCGGTTTTTGTAATATCCTTTATGGTAATAATCATACAATAAACTATATTAATGAGTTTTGAATGTATTAGCCTCATTTTGGCAGCGTATGTCATAGATGACCTGCTAGATTTGGTCTTACAGGTACTTCCCTTTAATTTCTTTCTTATAAAAAATATGTCGACGACATTATCATCTCCCTTCCTCAAGATGGAATATCTAAGATTGTGGACATCTACAATAGTTATAACCCTTACATATACAGTTTACCATCGAAACTGAAAACAACGAACAATGGGTTCCATTCCTTGACAGAACATCAGAAAATACTTTACTCCTGTAAACTTCCAATCTCAATTAATCTATTCCATTCTATAGTTAAATTGTAGTAGTGAATATATTGGTCAAACGTCAATACTACTTAAAGATATAATCAGTTCACATAAAAGTAATAGATGAAAGATTGGCTCTCAGTAATCAGTGAGATCTATGCGTTTTTACTAGAAATTGATAAAAATTTACATGACTTTCAAACCAAAAATAATTCTGTATTTTCATTGATATGATTCATAAGAGTTTTTAATTTTTGAAAAGAAGGTTAAAGCCTCCCTTTGGAGGATGGAGGATTTTCAATTAATAACACTTCATCATCATCATCATCATTTTCATCATCGAAATATTGGAATAACTTGTGTTATAAGAGTACACTCAACCGGATAAACTTGGTATACATGCATTCGATTAATGAAAAAAACATGAAAACTCTGGTGAAGAATTTTATTCACACGATCTCTTGCTGCATATGAAAAAATAAATTCAATAAATCACTGCTTGCTCGCATATAAATACATGAATATAAAGATGACAAACATCGTCTCCCACACAAATTTCGTCATTCACTAATTCCCAAAAAGTCTATGAAACTCCCAACTGTATAAAATAGGTAATAATTTGAGCAAAACATTCATCTTATAGACCTAGCTGGGAATTGTCATCATTTCCCATGGCCTCCTCCATATCCTCCTCCAAAACCACCTCCGAAACCACCTCCGTAGCCTCCCCCGTAACCACCTCCGAATCCACCTCCGTAACCACCCCCATGACCTCCTCCGTATCCTCCTCCATGTCCTCCTCCGTATCCTCCCCCATGACCTCCTCCATGTCCACCATGGCTATGGCCTCCGTGGCTATATCCTCCGTGATCATGTCCACCCCCATATCCCTTTTTTATGATGATGACTTTTGTACCACCGCCCCCTCCTCCATAACCACCGTGTCCATGGGGAGCGGGGGCAGCGAAACAGGTCATAACTACCAGACTACAGGCCATTATCTGAAACAATAAGTGAAATAGAAAAAAAATTATGAATATGAATATAAAAAATAAAAGTGATAAACGGTGATAGTGATAGAGATAAACAGAGAAAGAAAGAGTTTCCGTACGTTTCAATAAAGATTTGTAAAACACTTCACACTAGAAATCCGAAATAAGACAATAAGACCAAAAACTGACCTTGGCTGCAAAGTTTTGAAGTGTCTATGAAATCCTACCTAATCTTTATTTTAACTTTGAAAGTCCTAAAACCGATTCGATATGAATCAATGTTTTTTATCCCTGGAAAAATAGCAGCAGTCCTGGATTTGTTGTTTCTCCCAAATATTTTAAAAAACTAAAAATCACGCTTTTAAAGAACATCGAACTAAAAAGTTAAAAATGTTTCTTAAATGAGCTTACAACAATAACGAACGAAACATACCAGTATTATTGTAAAAAAAGCGACGGGCGCTTGATATACAAAAAATTTGGCACAAAACGCCCACGCTTTTTTCACAATAATAATAGTATTTTTCGTTCGTTATTGTTTTAAGCAGGTTTTTCCGGGTTTTCCTGCAGCTGAAAAAGAAAATGCGCCACTGGAATCAATGAAGTCGCCCCGGAGCGCCAATTAATTTTTATTGTTGTTTTTATTTTATTTTTATCGAACTTTTCAGTTCGATGTTCTGTAAAGCGGGTTTTTTAGTTTTTCAAACTATATTTATATTTCATTTTTCAGTTTCGTATGCTTTAAAATCGTATGTATAAAATCAGCCGTATATTGTTTCGAAAAATTACCATTGATATTTTCGTACAGCGCCATTTGCCCGCCAATAGATCAAGCAATAATGTCGATATATCAAGGAGTTACGTGTCGCGCCATCTGTCCGCGAATAGATCAAGCAATAATGTCGGTAATTTTGTCAAATACAGATCCAGAGCTTGAGAGTTACAAACATACATACATACAAACTCGAGAATCCTCAAGATATTGTTGATGCCTTCAGTAATTTTTTCAGTGAGGTGTGTTCAAAATCTGGCTCACTTTTGAACGAAGTTGGTACAGTGAATAATAATGTTCATATTCATTTTTACCCCATTCAAGAAAATGTGGTTGTATCTGCAACTAAAAAACTAAAGGACAAACTAACATCAGGCCCAGATATGATCCCATCATTTTTGTTGAAGGATTGTGCAGGAGCATTGGCAAAACCTTTGACGACAATTTTTAACTCATGTCTGATATTTGGAACATTCCCAGATATTTGGAAATTAGCTTAAGTATGTAGTATGTCCTGTATACAAAAGTGGTGAAAAATCATATATAAAGAATTACAGACCCATATCTATTTTATATATGTTTTCTAAAATTATCAACATGGATTTGTTACTAAGCGTTCTACTGTTACAAATCTAGTCATTATTACTCAATTTATTCTTGAGACAGTAGATAACAATGGACAAGTTGATGTTATATACACGGATTTCTCTAAAGCATTTGATAAAATTGATCATGTAAAACAATGCGTGTCCTATAACGGTTATACATCTAGAACATATATAGATTCTTCTGGTGTGCCTCAGGGCTCCAACCTAGGTCTTCTTTTGTTTTTATTGTTTATTAATGACTTATGTGGAAGTTTAGCTTATGAGCGGTTATGTTTCGCGGATGACTTGAAATTATTTTCTATAATTGAGGAAGTAGGTGATTGTGTAAATCTTCAATCTCAATTACAATTTCTTGTTGCTTGGTGTAGCAATACTAAATTGAAACTCAATGTGGAGAAATGTAAAGTAGTGAGTTATAGTCGAAAAAAAGAAGTTTATATATTCCCTTATGTAATACAGGATTTAGATCTGCTGAGATGTAATGAGATCAAAGACCTAGGGGTGATATTCGATCATAAATTAACATTTGGTGGACGTATTTCACAAATAGTTTCAGAATCTGTCAGAGCTTATGGTTTCATTGTTAGAAATTGCAGGAACTTTCATAATATTAAAGCCATGAAGTTGTTGTATTTCACCTACGTACGTTTGAAGATATAATATGCAAGTATCGTCTGGAGTCCATTCTATGAGATTCATAACATAGCCATTGAAAGAGTTCAAAGAAAGTTTTGTAAATTTTCTAATTTTCAGAAAAGATGGTTCTTACCCTGAGAGAGGTATCAGTAATGATGTCATATATGAACGTTTGGAGTTTTTTTAGTTTAGAGCATCGCAGAAATTGTGCTTCGCTCATATTTTTATTCAAGTTAGTGAATTAGAGAGTTGACTATCCTAAAATTCTTGAACAAATTAACTTCAATGTACCACGGCCAGCTTCACGATCTCAATCCATTTTTAGACCTCTAATTTGCTTTTTGAATCATCATCAACTCCATATAATAGCCCTGAATCAGCTGTAGAGTTACCAAAAACTGATACAAATCCAGATCAAAAACTGAAAAACTAGGAAATATGAAGATTACTGGCGAAATACAAAATTCAAAAATACAATATTCAAACATATTCTACGCGGTAGAATATTTTTGAAGAAGAAAATAAAATAAATGAAGAACTGCTTCAAAAAATCAGGGCTGTGCTGAGAACAAAGGACTGATGAACCATTTGTTTATACCGACAACTGAAGAAATGCATTTACAGTGCAGCAAAGAGACCAAATCACATCCAGAGGAAAATGGCAAATATCTGTATGGTATGGGTATCATGAGAAAGGGAAATGCAGTGAGCCCAGGATATCGAATGCTGATCGATATCAGGTTTATAATGTAATTTTTTGTATTGTTCTTTGTATTTGTTATATTTTTGTTGCCAGTTCTCGCAGCTGTCTGTGGAAGTTAAATGGTAGAACAAACCCGTACATTGCTGTTTAGAACTTCGCCTTTTGGATGTTATGTCCTATTTGACACAATAAAGACTATTATTAATATTACTATGAATATACATGTGAACATATGTTATGTTTGAAGTGAATTTAATTATTGTATTCGTTTCCATAGTACACAAGTATATTTTTATATTATTTTGACTGACGATTTTTATATCACTTTTGGTATCTATGCTTGCCAATCACCAGAATTTAGTGATTTAACAAATGTAGACTCAATTATCAATAGTCTATACATAAAAAATGATACATGTGTGACACTTCTCTTCATATTTATTACATTAATCTTGACCACTCGAATCTGTTGATAATGGATGTTTGAGATGTGTCTGTTTTGCTACAAAATACAAAAAATTACGGAAAAACTTCTCATCAAACTTTTCAAGGCGATCAAAGCTGTCGACATGAAAAAACTCACTTGAGGTTTTCATAAGTCTGAGTTGAAAACGTCAATGAGTCAATTTATCTATCTACGTATATATTTCAACAATTTCAAAAATCAAATCTTCTGAAAAAATAGTTTGTTGCATTATCTAGCCTCTTGAATTTCACTTACCAACAATAAACAAGTCCCCGTCCTCATGATTTGGAGTTGAAAATTGAAGAAATAAACACTATAGAAATTATCGACCTCAGAGTACAAACTACTGTTTCCAGCTGAAGAATACGTTGGATTTTGAAAGACGTTTGATCTTTATATACTTTTTGTGTTTTTAATGGTTCATAGTCAAGGATAGACGTGAGATCATACAGAAAAAAATAAATGGGATTTCTCAGCTCTAGCAAATGTTCATCGTACACAAGAAACGAAATTACCGTGTCTGACATTCGAAGTTAAGATCACCTTCGAGATATTTATGTTAACTTCAACTGTTAATTAGAAAGCGGAATACGAAAAATTCTACGCGAGGATCCACTTAATTCCAATTTGGAGCTATTTATTTTCTTTGTGCACATATTTATACAAAAAGGGAAGTTTTTCGTTGTTAGTGAATTACTGGCTATATTTTCCAGAGGTCTATTGATTTTAGGGAATTCATTGAAAAAGTTTCATTTTGTTATAGAATAAATATAGCTTGAAAAACTCAAGAACACTCTAAATCATCCCCAATAACTCCGAGCCACACGTTAAGAGAAAACTGTTCTTGATGGTTAGTTTCGAGAATAGCGTGAGAGTTTTCATCTGCCCATATGTGGTAATCATGAAAATTAATAATCTTGTCCCGAGAAAAACTACATTCGTCTGTGAATTCTATCGTTTTCAGAAAGTCACAATTTCTTCTAATCATTTCCAGCATCCAATTGCAAAATTCAAGACGGNGCGCCATCTGCCTGCGATTAGATCAAGCAATAATGTCGATAATTCTGTCAAATACAGATCCCGAGCTTGAAAATTACAAACAAACTGAAATATATACATACATACATGTGATGCTAATAAAAGCGTGTTAAAATTAATAAAAAAAGGTTTTTCGTTTCACAAGATTCAACAGGTACTATGAGAATATCTAACAAATGAGGAACACAGCGTGTCTGATTTAATATTCATCAGTTGAGATAATTTGGAAATTTTGATAAAATTCAATTACTCTACTGGTTAGTATTACATAGGCAAACATTCATGTATTTCCTTCGACAAATAAAGAAGTCGTTTCACAATATTATTCAGGTTGTACATAAATCATTTCATTCATCCAAAAGCTTTATATTTAAGAGAATGAAACAAGCTTTATTCAGTGTCATTGCTTTTCGAGTTTGAAACCCGTGGATTTTTGGAATTTCTTCCTGACGTTTCGCTGGCTTCTTCAGAGGTTTAACCATCATGACTTGCTGCCCCATGAGTACCTTTCAGGCTTCGTAAAGTGTATTTATGCCTTGTCAGGTAATCAGTCTTCAAACTCACGAGGAAGATACAACAAAGCCTCAGGTCGGCTGAAGACAAAAGAGGCCCATTATCAGCGGCAGAGGTCTATCGCATACCGTGCACTTGTGGAATGATATATATCGGAACCACCAAACGATCCATGGGAACAAGACTGAAAGAGCATAAAAGGAATTGCAGACTAGGCCAAACAGATAAGTCAGCTGTGACAGAACACACACTGAGTGAAGGAGACCACAGAATTTTATTTGAGAACACAGAACTAATTGCCCCTAACCAGGGATACCACAGCCAACTGGTACGGGAGGCAATAGAGATCCACAAACACACGGATAATTTTAACGGTGAACCTCAATCAAATATGGAACCACATTTTAAGGAATTCGAGAATAACAAACAGGACAACAGGCAGCAGGATTGTTAATGTTCCAAGTTCGAGTGCAGGAACGAGTACAGGTACAAATGCAGGTACAGATACAGGTATAAATACAACTGATTACCTGGCAAGGCATAAATACACTTTACGAAGCCTAAAAGATTCTCATCGGACAGCAAGTCGTGATGGTTAAACATCTGAAGAAGCTAGCCACCCGCACCAGCGAAACGTCAAAATTGAAAGATTCATTTTTTGATGTCAGTCATGGATAACTGGGTTTTTGAAGAAAGAAGCAGTATAAATGTTCTTACGGTTTTTTACGCATTTCTTACCATTGAAACCGCTGATAACTATCACTAGATGGCATGAAAAATGGTAGTGTACTAGCGATTAGTTTGAATATTCGAAAAACAAATTTGAAAAAGTTGAATCTGTTTGAAAATGAATGCTACTTGGCCGGTTTTGCTAAGCACCCCATATATTGTTTCCGAAAGTTGGGATTCCAGTAATTATCATAGTGATGTTGACTAACTTTTCTTAAAAAAATCCACTCAATTGCTGTAGAGATGCAGGTGGTGAATTAAAAAAATATTGCCTGCAAAATAGGTTTTTCTGGAATAATTTGGCAATGCCGCAATGAAAATTCGAAAACAAAATTTTTTTTAGAGAGTTGAAAAAATATGGAATCGAATGACGTATTCAAATACTGAGTGTTCTATTTAAAACAATATAACTTTGGTTGGCCACACTCGGCTGAACCACCCAGTATGTGAGAAAATTATTTTGAAATATAGTATTTTTCGATATAACTGCCAAAAAATTGAGCAGTTCGAGAAATTGTTTCCTCTGAGAGCAATGGACCGAGGGAATCTTGTTGACTCACCCTGTATAAAGAAATGCATTCCCCATATATGCATTGACGAAACATGCATATATCCAATGGTTGTTTAGTGTGCCCTACTCAGAAACAAATATTCATAAATTCTCATATTGATTCAATATTCATTTACTTACATATTGGTCTATAACTTGCACTTAGATGAATATGCATGCACACATAAACATTCATATATACATCGTCACATCTAAACACTCACTTAAACATATATACATCTCAACAAATGTGTTTATATCTGTAGTAATCTATATCTATACTATGGTTGTATGTTTGTTGCTCTTTCACGTCTAAACTAATGAACGGATTTCGATGAAACTTTACATGAATACAGCTTATACATCAGAATAACTATGAGCTACAATTCATAAAAGTTTTGTGTAATTTTGGTCATGATATAACGATAAGTATTAAGTAAGTCGGAAGAATGCTTGCTTTCTAAGAACTATCTGGGCACGCTTATTGATTGACTGACTGACACTCTTATTTTAGGGTACAGCCGAAGCTTCTCAATCTAGAATCTTGAAATATGCAGGTAGGTTCTTTGTATAGCGTAAATAAGCATCAAGAAAGGGGATTAATAATTCAATCTCCAGCGATACAAATCCAATAAAACGTTTGCGTCAAGTGACACCAATTGAAGAAAATGTGGTATTTCTAAAATAACGGAAGTATTTTCTGCTTTTTTCTCAATATATCCAGAACTAAACAGATATTTTATATTTGATACAATCCTTTGATGAAGCTGCCTAATCTGGAAATTTCGCTATTTAAACCGACCTTGTAACCTGTGTAGTTTAGAAAAAAACCAGCACAATGCTTGTACTATAAAAAAGTGAACACACAGAACACCTGAAAAGGTTGAAGACTCCAATTCACAGACAAAAAAAGTAATGTGTATTATTATTTGAGTACTCATCTACCTTTATTAAGAATATAACAAAAAAAAATGAAAAATTACTACTTGAATACCCGTCAGCTGAGTGATGAACATTTTTTGTGTGATTTGTAGACGGCTAACTATTTTTATCCACAATCATTATGAGAATAATCTGTCTTCTACGAAGTATTCATTGTGGTATAGCTTAATTGATTCTGACCAAAATTTGTTACACAAGTCAACGATTTATAATGCGGTTTTTTGTCCTTGCTCTTGGCTGTTCAAAATTTCGTAACAAGATTTCAGGTTTCAAAATAACCAAGTCTTTGTTTATTCAATTCTTGTTGATAGAGACTGCTTGACAAAATTACAACAACAGAAGACATTTTTATTGAGAAATAGTTTCTTTCTCAAATTTCTTCCCATATTTCAATTTTTATTATTCATGTTGAATTTATTTCATTAAATTTTTTACCGGATATCGTTGTTATTGTACAAAATTTGTCAAGAATCATCGTGTATTAATGACAACATCAGCGTCAGAAATTATTGATTTGAGCGACAGAAGATAAGTTGGTTCAATCAACGATATTATAAAAAAATCAGTTCAATGGTATTTGCCAATATTAGATTGAGAGTGAAAACTCTTTTTTNATTATTATTACTATTATACTAACAGATACCACCACCACACATCTAACCATCATACCGGTTTTATTATAAGAAATCTATATACATACAAGTGTAATATGCAAGCCTAGATGTATGCATAGTTGTAATTTATTATGTTTATTAATTCGTACACCAACATATTACAATTATAATTAATTGTGCAATATCAATTCGATCAATTCAACAACCATTTCCGAAGTTTTATGGCCCCTTCATGAAAATAAGTCTATGTGTTAAATCATATTGTAAGTGAGGTGTGATTTGACTATTGTATTCAATAATCTTACGAACGAACAACGTTGTTTATTGTGGGATTCTCATATATTACACTAATTGAGTCAACTAATGCATCTCATCACGGCACTATAATTGGTTGTTTTCAGATTATGATAATCGATTTTATGATATGATCAACCTGTTGCGGAATGTGTTTTGAAAGTTACTTCATGAATAATTTATTTTGTTGATATTATAGGATCTTCAGGAATCAAAAACTTTTTTCAAGAAAACCCCAGTTTCTGTTTTCAATGATATAGTTTGTCATCGACAGAAATATAGAATGAAATGAAATATCCATTCGAAATAAGAATACCCAATACGAGTATACATTCAAATCCTTATACTCATTTGAATATTTAGATGACATTACATATGACATCTTTTTTATTAATTAACACGCTTTCATTAGCTCCACCTGTATGTATATATGTTTGTTTGCTTGTAACTCTTAAGCTCGGGATCTGTATTTGACAGATTTATCGACATTATTGCTTGATCTATTCGC